AATTCAAATCTTCAATTCTTTCAGTAACTATAGATATTTTGTTAATTTTGTTGGTTTCCTTTATCTAGTGTCCTGTACTGGTGGCTTGGGGTGACAAGGATCCCTGGGAACCAATTGATTTAGGAAGAGCCTATGCACAATTTGATCCTGTAGAAGATTTTGTCGTGTTGCCTAATGTTGGACATTGTCCTCAGGTCTCTCTCTCTCTCTCTCTCTCTCATCTATACTATTATAAAAGGATGAGTGATTTTGTAAAAATAATGATATGCCCAAAAAACCCTTACTTTGACATATTTTTAATGGTAAATTAGTAATACAATAATACTTATCTTATTTTATATTTTTAATTAACAAATGAACTACCTAAAAAACCCTCACTTTGACTTAATTTTAATGACAAATTAGTAATACACTAATAATCTTCAAATCTTATATTTTTTAGTTAATCATTAATATTTAATTAAATAAATAACAACGTAACATTGAAAACTAGCATAACATTGAAAACTATTACGATCCACGCCCAAAGTATGACTCAAATAATTCTAAATTTACTAAAAATGATGGAGATTGAGGTGGTCTTTGAAGAAATTGTTATAATTCTCTTAGCTAAGTAGCTGTTGAAAAAAAAATAACTCTTCCACAGAAGTCCACCAAAACAAATTGGTTCTTGTAAACAATATCTACAAAATAATCTTATGTAATATTTAGTCCAAATGTTTTATTATATTCTATGTCTAAATGTTGTGCTAACTAAAATGGTAACTCAGAATACTACTATAAAAGGATGAGTGTTTTTGTTAAAGAAAGAAGTCACTAATATACTCTTACTTTGGTATATTTTTAATGGTAAATTAGTAATAACATAATATATAACCTATCTTATATTTTTTTTATTAATAACTAATATTTACCTAAAAACCCTTTTATTTGACATATTCTTAATCTCAAATTAGTAATGCACTAATACTCATTTGAAATTTTATTCATTTAATACAATTAAATGAATAAAACATTCCACATCTCTTAGAAATCAACCACAATATTCACACTATTATTCTTCAAGAATTCGGTTTCTTTCACATATCTCTCGAACCGTTTTCTTCCATATCTCTAAAAAATCAACTCAACATTAACCCAAACAACAAAGTTTTGAAATGATATTGAATTTTTGTTTTGAATAACGTCCTTATTTTAATATAATTTCGATGATAAAATTGTAATCATATTTAATGATTTTAATATATAAAATTTATTTAAACAAAAAATTATGCAACAAAAACAACAGAATAAATACTTATAAAAGATCTAAATATTCTCAACTATTTGTTTACCTATCTTTTAACAAAATGATAAATCTTGGTAAAACATGATAACTTAGTTGAGGGGTAAATTTTATATAATAAATAATTTACAAGATACATACATAACTTTAATCAAGAGAAGATACCTCAAATATTACTGAAATCATGCACACGTGAAATATATACATAATCTAACAAACTAGAAAAATCAAAGAATTCATTTAACTAGATCATTATTTAAGAAAAATAAACTCTTGTATTTAAAACTAAAATTAGATTGCACCTTAGTTTTATTGGATTGAATTTTGATCCCACAAAAATCGTCATTGTTTAGTGGTTTGTATTTTCAAATTTTGGTCGCAAAACTAATAGAGTTAACGAATCTTTACGTGACCATTACGTGATTAATATCAAGTTGCGTAATTTTTTAATTATAAGACTTAAAATATATAAATTTTTCATTCAATTATTAATAAAAATGTTCATGAAATTTTAATTATTATTATTATTATTTTATTTGAGCAATTAATTTTCAAGTTGAGCGCTCTATAAACGATTATAATTCAAAATTTTATAAATAAAATATTTTATTTATTGATATTATTCAAGATTCTTAAATACTTTTATGACTTTTTCAATAAAATTTAAGAGTTTAACCATAAGTATCCTATCAAATAAGATAACTGTTTCAACAATATTTATTTAATTTTACAAGTTTATTAATAACTATAAGTAAAATATTTAAAATCGATGTTGTTTGTCCCCATAACGACCACAAACTATATAAATATTTGTTTTTCAAAATAACATATAAAAAAAGAATAAATTATGTAATAATATGGGAAATAAGTTTTTAAATAATTATTTTGCAACCTAAACTTTTAATATACTCAATTTCTTTACGTAAAATAAGATTAGAATAATTTTATGAAATTAAATAATACTAAAACCCGGTCCAATTTTTTTCATGTCGATTGGGATATTAGTTGAGCAGCATGATTTTATTTTGATCATACAATTTTCTACAAATTAATTATAATATCTAAAGAATCGTATATGCCTATTCGCAGCAAATTAATTATTTTTACCAATAATTATATCATATATCACCATTACTCATCTATTAGTAATAACTATAAGTAATAAAATTGAAATCCATAATGTTGTCCTCATAACACCCATAAAGTAAAGAAACTATTTTTTTCTTTCAAAATAACCTATAAAAAGTAATCATTTTTGTAATAGTATGAGAGATTAATTGTTGAATGATTGTTTTGCAATCGAAACTTCTAATCAACCCAATTTATTTGCTTAAAATAAGGTTAGAATAATTTTATGAAAATGTATAATACTAAAACCCAGCCTATTATTTTCATGTAATTAATGAGAAAATTGTTCTTATATATAATAAAATAGAACGGTGTACAATTAATTGATATATAATAAGACATATGACCCAAAAGGTTATATACTTAATTTTATGTATTCTTTAACAAATATAAGAGTTATATATGGGAAATTTATATATAAAAAACAAAAAAAAACACAAGTGGACTCAAATAAAAGCAAAAAAAAAAAAATCTGGACCAAAATCAAAAACCAGTATTCTGAGAATACGTTTTCTTTACAAATTGTCATTGAAAAACGTATTCTCAGAATACGTGTTTCAATGAAAAACGTATTATACAAATACGTTTTTCAATGAAAATTACAAAAAAAAACGTATTCTCAGAATACGTATTTTTTATTTATTTCCACAACTTTTTTTTTTGTTTTGTTCTTGTCCACTTCATTTTTTCTTATTTTTTTAAGTGTAAAAACCAGTTATATATATATATATATATGTATACACATATGTAAACATATAAAATAACAATATGAAGGAAAAAAATATTAAATTTGACAAATAATATTAAAAATCCGTTAAAGTTGTAACACTTATTAATAAATATTAAAAAGTAACAATAAAATATTATAGTTAATAAAAATAAAGATAAAACTTTTAAAACTTGTACTTATCGATGTAAACGAGTTGAGTCACTATTAGAGGAATTAAGAGAGCTAATATTGGCTTTTTGGTGGATTCAATTTCTTAACGCAATTCAGGTGTTATTAAACGCTTATTAATTTTTTGTTATTATTAATTCTAAGTGTAAATTTTAGGTGATAGAAAATAGTTATTTGTACTTTTATCCATCATTATCTTTAAATTAATTAAAAATATATAGTGAATCATGATATGCCTATATACGTTGAAAATTAATTATTTTTACTAAGAATTTATATCGATATAGTACCATTACTCACCTATCTATTAATATGTATTATTACAATAAATCAACTTTATTAAAAAATGTACAAAATATTTTTTTTTAATATTTGATAATAATATTAATTAGAAAATTGTAATTATACATAATATAATATAAAGATGTACAACTATAATAGATATAATAAGACATATGACCAAAAAAAGTTATATACTTAGTTTTATGCATTTTTTTTAACAAATTTAAAAGTTATATGTATATATATATGAAAGAACAATATAAAGTAAAAAAATATTAAATCGGATACATAATATTAAAAATATAATTAAGTTGTAATACTTACTAATACATATGAAAAAAAGCAATAACTAAAAATGTTATAATTAATAAATATAAATATAAAACTTTTAAAACTTGTACATATCGATGTAAACGAGCACGATTGTTACTTTTTTTTGTGCTTAGTAATTATAGGTGTATGTTAGGTTATTGACAATAGTTATTTGTACTTTAATCTATGTGTATTAGGGCTTTTAATTTTCTTAAAAATAAATTGATTATTGTAAGTTTAAATAATTTTTATTTGTTATTAGCTTTTTTAATATAATATATAAATATTATATTACATATAAAAATAATACTTATTTCCATTAATATATAGGGAAACTAATTCAATTGAGAAATTAGTAGGTAATCTCAACATAAAATAACGAGTGACTTGTAAGAAAATTATATGGACTAAAAAGTAGATGTTTTAATATATTTTAAAAGAAAAATTATAAACACAATTAATAAATAAAAAAATTACTACATAAACATTTTAATGATTATGAAAGAATATAAAAATTCCATATTATAATGAAAAATCCAACAGTAAGGTATTCCACAGAAAATACCAACAGATATTTCACTGGTATAACTTCTATTGAAAAGATTCACTAGCTATTCCAATGGTGAGTAAATTAAATTACATTGAAATTTTTGTGGATTTAATATCTCAATTACTAATATTTATTTTTGTGTGAATTTACATTCGATTTTTTTTTTTTTGGTCATATTTCAACCATTAAAAAAATTGTCACTGAAATTGGGAAAAACAATGAAAGTTCCATTGAAAAACTAGCTGCAGTGGCGAATCCAAAATAATTTCATGTTAAGAGTACTATCTAATTAATACAAAAGTATTGCATCAAAACAACATAATGTCATTACAATTTATAAAGTATACTTTTCATAATTTGTCAACTTTCTCATATGTATTACTTTTTTTTAACACATCAATACAATCACAATAAGTTCAATAATATTAAACAAAAACATATTTTTTCTCAATTCGACATAAGAAAATCATACAAAAAATAACACATTTTTCAAAATCTTTTTATGAACAAAAATTTATGTTGTAGTACAGTTGACTCGACAATATAATAGATGATTGTATAAATTACGAATATATAACTAGAATTCTACATACACTTAAAAAAGACTTAAAAATATATTTTCTAAAATTAGATAAAAAATATGTCGCAAAAGAGAGATAATAAGATATCATCATGAATAAAAGGAAAAAAGAGAAATAAAGCGTAAAATTGTAAACTTTGATATCATATTTTCTTTAGTCGGGATACCGCATTGATGTTATAATTTTAATAACTTTATGAGTTGAATTAAATTATAATTGGTTGAGTTGTAAATTAATCCTTATTTGCCTTTATTCTTTTAATTTTATTTTCTAAATAGAGGACATGATTAAAATTATGAAAAATGTTCTCATAATACTTGTTAGATATCTTATGCTATTTGTTTTGGGATGATGCCAGTTTCGGGACTATTGGACAAACATGGATCTGCACATGATTGCAGCAAAATATTTTTGTTATAATTTTCATTGAAAAATTCAAACGAAAATTGTAACGTTGAAATATTCGTTAGAATTGTTGTTGAAATTTCGTTGTAGTATGTTTTCATTGGAATTTCATCATTTTCTCGTAGTAAAAGTATGACTCCAAATGAAACTAAAAAATTTGCACTATATATAATATTGTGTGCAGTTAATTGTTTTGAAAATTATTGATAATGATACAAAATATAACATATTTAATGTAATTATAATTTAATTTATGATAATTAGTAATTAAAAAAATACATATAAGTTGAAAAGTCCTTAAATAATTTATTAGTATTATAATAATTAAAGAAGAGGCCAGAATGATGTTCTACTGGAAAGGTAATATTAATACTAAACAAGATGTAAAAATGATATTCTACGTAATAAAAAAGTAAAACTACACAACGAGAAAGCTTATAACTGACATTCCACTCAAAAAAAAAAAAAAAATAAAATTAATAAATGTCATATATCAATTGGAGCTAGCGAATGATAAATGTAAAAATATACTTGAGATGCACATTTATAATAAATATATTTATTTTTTTGTCTTAGAAATTAAATTTTTAGTTAAAAAATTAGTTAATTTTTACCATTAAATTTCTTATTTTTGAAATACTTAATTTTTTTTTGGTTACCCTTTTATATGTAATATATCATATCATTTCTTTCCCATGATATTTGATTTTACCAATGTTTTGTAAATAAAATAAAAATAATATAATTATTTATATCGATGTAAAATAATATATATATATATATATGTATATGTATATATCAATACCAATTTAGAATAATAAATAGACCTAAAAGAATCTTATAAAATAATTATAAATTCATGTTAAATTAATTTTATTAATTATAAAATAATATAAGATAAGCTTGTGGTATATTTTTCTGACATAGATTTGAATTATTCATACTAAGAAAAAAGTCAACTAGATGTAATTGTACAACTACTATCAATATTAAATATGTGAATTAAAAGAAAAAAATAAATCCGTTGTATGTTAAACTATTATTCAATTATTGTTTGAAACGGAACACCATAATGGTTGTAAAATGTATTTTTTGTGAATATAAACATAAATTAGTTACTTAATATTTTATCAGAACATGGAAATAAATTCAAAACTTTTTAATATTATAAACAATATAAAACTACATTTTTATCAAGTATATTATCACTATCAAACACGTAAAAAGAACGCATTGAGTATAAATGTTCTCTAATTCTCTCAAGAAATAAAATATTATTTGTGAATAAATAAAAAAAAAAAACAAGTAAACCAATAGTAATGCAATGAGGAAAAGAAAATTTCTGAATTTTTTTAGAAAAGTATGAATACTAATATCAAGAAAAAAAAATCTTTTAAAATTACTACTTTTTTTGTTGCTAGCATTTAAGTATATGTTCTCTATAAGAAATTAGTTCTCATAAATAATGATTCGATATTATCATAAGATAGACCACAAACTTCAATAATGACTTCATAATAATAAAGTTAATAGATGACTAAGAGTATCATAATATAGTATAATTCAAATTCTTCTCATCTGAAATATTTTGACAAATACTTCTCAATATTGTCTCATTGTTTTGTTTTGTTTTGTTATTATTGAAGAATCAATAAAGGATCTTTATCTTGAATATTTTAAGCATTAGTTATGATACAAAAGATTGGACAATAAATGCAATAAATGTTATTAGACACATAAATATTGCAAATCCGAAGGAATATGGAAGGTATCTATCTTCCAAATTAGTAACACTGAAAAGGGAATGTTTGATACTGATTAAAATATTTTTGAATGTTGAATAAGTTGTCACTTTTTGATAAGAATATTTACAATCATAACTGTGTATTATGCTCGATCATACGCGCAATTGTTTTAGAGTACATATTTTCATGTAATGTGTGATGATTTCAAAAAAATAATTTAGCATCTTCAGAGAAGTACATGATTTGGGAAAATCAAATTTTATTTAGAGATGAAATTCGTTCCCACCTCATGGGTAAGTACCAATTTGTCTATGTGGAGAGAGAGAGAGAGAGAGAGAGAGAGAGAGAGAGATATATAGTAGTTTATACATTGATTAAAAGAAATATCAAGAATTTTAATGACACAAATATCAAGAAATTTAATGCTACAATTGCTTATTTCACAGAGATAAGTTAGCATGTTTGTTTATAAAATTTTTTGGTTTTGTTTAGATTTTTTGGTTTGGTTTGGTTAATTTTGAAAAAGGTGGTATGGTTAGTTGTTAGTAGGTATATTAAAATAATATTTATAATAAAATAATTAAAATTGATATGATGCAAAAGTATGAGAGAGATATTTGAAGTGATGGTTAGTTAAAATAATGTGAGTGGATGAATAGTGAATTAAGGTTGATGTGGTGTGTATGAATGATTGATTTATATTATTTAATTATATTGATAATTTTGATGATAGTGGGAGTGAGTTAAAGTTGAGTTAAAAAAAGTGGTTGAGTTAAAATGTAGAATTTTTTTTTAAAATTTCTTATAAACAAACATGCTCATGAACTATTAGTAGAAATATCTTATAATGATCATACAATTATAAAGTTTGACTATATGTTTGGCTAATGTATTTCTAAGTGTTGAATAAAACAGACGTTTTGTCAAATTAATTAAGAAGAATTTTGCAATACTATTGATGTATTAGAATTCAACGAGTATGAATGTTTCTTATGAGAACAAAATGACTCTTGAATCTAACATAAATAAATAAAAGAACTCATGCATCTATAATATACATTATGTCTCTATTTAGTCATTTATTGTTTTTTCATTAGGAACTCATTTTTCATATATTTTTGTTGGAGTTGTAATATGATATATAAATTTTTTTATATTACGACAACATTTTTTTATTTAAAATAAAATTCATGAAAAGTTTATTTATTCTACATTTTATTTTGTTCCTGCAGTCATATGTATAATAAATTAATTAATTTATCGTACTAAATTTAATCGGTAAAAAACATTCGTCGTCACGTGCATCGCACGTGCACTTTACTAGTACATATAAAAAAGCCACAAAAAATAGTTTCAATGATGTCGTAATAGATTCTGCTCCAAAACTCCATGAAAATTCTCAGAAGGAGCAAGTGGTTCTTCTCTATCCATTGCTCTTAGACATTTTTGACTAGTTGAGATATTGCTTATTCCATCTTTTTTCTTTAATTTGTTTTCCGAATCTTGGATGTTTCATCCTTAATTAAAGAGTCTTGTTACCTATCCCTTTTATATATTACATGGTGACTACTCTGACTAGACTTGTTTTCCCACTGAAGGATGAGGCGCCGGATCTTGTGAACCCACTCGTAACATCCTTTGTGGATCGACATAAATCATCGCCTGCTACTCTTCAAACTGCAGCTTCCTGAATATGAATACTTGTGTGATCTAAGGTCTGTTCGGTCAGTACCACATGTTACTCGAAATGAAAAACCATATATCGAGTGATTTTAATTTTTACACGACTTTCTATTGCAGTTTTCCCAACTGATTGATCTCTGTACTAATTTCAGTAACATAACAAGTGAATGTGTGTATTACAATTTACATGTAAAGGAAATACAATTGATTATGAACTTTGAAATGATTTCAAACCTTTTTTCATTAAGAGTCTTTTCAGCCAAAGACGATGGAATTTCAAATCCTTCACCCTAATTGAGCTTTACACAACTTGATAGAAAGCATCCAACAACTGTTACAACCCTTGGTTGGGAAAGATCTATATATGCTCCCTAGTGAAAGCCAATGCCAAGTAACTTAGTTCATGTACAAAGGAAATTTTCTCACCACCGCGAATCTTCCCACGCGTCTC